CAAATCTGTCGTTTTATTATTTAATATATATATATTTTTTTATCTCGGGTCGGATAATATTTGTCCATGTTTAGTCCTTCTGGAAGTATAAAAGATTGTTCGTTTGCTTGTTTTACGCTCGTTTTTCTTTAGATCTCTGAATTGGACGAAGTTTTTCTCATTTTAGCCCTCTGCGAGAGTGTGCTGTGTCTGTGTTTTTTACAACGTTTTCAAATCGACCTTCTCGTTATGTGCAATGTTTGCCCTATTTCTGACCTCTCTGGGGGAGAGATCTTTGTTTTGATCCCGCCCATATTCATTTGTTCGCTGATTACACAAGATTTTTTTGGACAACAAATCGTTATATCATGTGCCGATTAAAAGGCAGGCAGTGAGGCAGTGAGAGTACATTATCTAATTGTTCCAAATAGATGCATCACTAAGAACTCTCCTGGTTGAAGGAGGATCGAAACATACATACAAACTTTATATGAAATGCAGTATGGAATGTAAGAAGTGAAACCGCAATTTTCTTTTGAATTTGCTTTGAATGATGAGCATTCGAATGCCCCTTATAAATGTCATGGGTCTTTTCTTTTTTTCTTTTTTTCTTTTTTTCCTTCTGGCGATTGAAATGATATGTTACTTACATCAAGGCATTGCCATCCTCCATCGTAATCCATTTTATTATTGTTGTTGTTATTCAAGCCAGACAGTGACCTTGTACCAATTAATTACCTGGAAGTTTGTCCTATAAAGTGCAAAAAGATACTTTCGAACTTCCACATCAATAAGGAAGCATAATTTGTCAACTGCTTTTCGTGATTAAATTGGTCACCCTTCTATATAAATTTGAAACGAAGCAGAGTGTAACGCTTTGCGACACTATTTCAAAGTGTTTCACTTACAGAGGTGTATTTGTGGAAAAAAATGTGTGTGTTTGTTTCTGTGTTTTGTTTTATTTTATGTTTATGTTTTTATTTTTTTTAAGCTAATCGGAATTGTTATTTAACATTTTTCGTCCTCATTGAGAGATATACMAGTATCACACTTAAAATACCGGGTCATTTGCGCGAAACTATATTGAACTTAATCAGTGGCTTCTAATATATTTCAAGAGACTTTTTATGACAACTTTCAAATTCCAACTCTAAAATAACGAATAGGACAAGTTTACAGTAGAATGCAGTATCCGTGACGTCCTATCAGTTTAGTAGATTCTTATTTGAAACGTACTGAATCAACAACACACAAATACAATGTAATGGTTAAATTGTAGTAAAGTCTGATTTTTTGTTAAACAAGTTAGGACAACAAGAGATTTAAACGTTTCGACGCCATCGCGCGTCATTTTCAAGAATAATTTATTAGATCGATCACTACAGTTTTTATATGTTATTGAATATATTACATGTCTCATTAAAGTCTGATTGCCTGAAAAGAAGAACGTGCAAATTAAAGATCATTATGTGCATGTACAGTGAAAACCATCGGTGATACTCTGGGCTACAAAAGATGTATGAGAGAAAGGTGTCATTTTGAAATGATTTTAATAGCCGTCCTTGTTTAGCAGTGCTTCGCTATTGGTCTTATTATAATACCTTTGAGATCCCATATCTTTTTCATTTCTTTCCACTATTTAGTTTCTGTTTGTTTAATTTATTCTTGAGGATGAATGCCAACAAATTGTAATAAACATGTCAAACTTTCTGCACCCCAGAGCAAATCATTTGCTTGTGTACTTGGCGAGGTGATAAAGATTTCAATGAACAATAACATTGTCGACAACAATTCAAGTTTTAGACTAAGGTTGTCGATGAGACATGACAGCAACAGAGCAATGTTTCTATATTACTTTTTTTTTAAGTAAAAATCATGCGAATGAGTAACGTTTTCAGATTGTTATCCTCTTTCATGCACTYTCTCATTTCACATAACTCCAAACTGTCAGATGGCTCCGGTTAATTCTGGTTGCTCTCGATATAAGTATGGACATCAGCCCTTTGTTGTGTAAATTTTACATCCGAGAAGATGTAATTTGATATGAAACGTTGGCAGCTGTTGAGTGTTAAACACACAGGTATTACTGCCGTCTCCGCTACATATCATTTCTGGGGATTTGTCTTTATTTTCTTAAAAACATCTTTCGTGCATAATTTCTGAATTTATTTATAAACTACTTCGTGCCTTGAATTGTTGGATCCAGTTGATGGTAGAGACGTACATGTATCTTCTAATGCCAACAACAATTAATAACAATGAACAGAACCAATTCAACACCTGCGGGTACATCTTGCTTCTTGCTTTTCAATCATCGCACCTTTGAAACAGCAAAACTTACATCTTTGATTGTTTTTGGTGGATTGGGAGTTGCTGGGAACATCTTCATCATCATACTCGCTGCCAAATACACAGAAAGGAAAAACCTTCACTACCTTATAATCAACATGGCCGTTTCTGACATTCTAATAGTCATAATGTATGTTCTGAGGGATAATGGGATTTCTCTGCCTAGTGAAACACCTGAGACGCTCGCCATAGTATTGTTTATTGAAAGCACATCGGAATTGCTTACATTGATAACATTGGTCATTGTCAGTATTGAACGTTATCGAGCTACAAGACTAGTGGTTGGTGTACAAGCTTACTCAAACGTACAGCTTCTCTGCATTGCTTGGTTGGTGTCGATGGCCTTAGCCTGCTTTAATCTTAGTTTTAGTAAAGCTACTCGAGCTTCATCAAGCAAGACTTTTGTGTGCAACTATACTTCTGAATCAGAAGTCTTTGACACATTATACCTTATAAAATCGTTGTGTTTGCTTTTTCTTTATTTCATGGTGGTCTCTCTAAGTATAATAACTTGTGTGAGACTTTCCAAACCGAACCCCATTCAAGCCAGTCTTTCAGATGAGCAAAGAAGGCGAAGGAAGAAGCGTATCATCAGCGCAGTGAGAATGGTTCTGTGCTCATTGCTACTTTACTCAGTATGCTATTTGCCTGACTTTCTTGAAGATGTCGTTGAAAGTGTCTCGGACAATTTGGTCAGTGTTGGTCGGATGACTGAAATGTGTCGCATGTTCTTGACCTTTATACTTCACTTCTTGAAGGTCATGAACTCATGTTTTAGTCCTTTGGTTTACTTGATTTTCCTCGCTGACTTTCGAGAAGGAGTAAACCGAATGTTTGTAAGGCATGTCCAGCCAGTGCAAGAGCGCGAACCAACGCAAGAAACCAACCTCTAAAAACTTAATAACATTATGTGGGATGTTGTAGTGTTAAGTTGTGACTTGTAAAAGAAAAGGAAGAAAGATTCGTTAATAATCATAAAGAGATACAAATATAATTTTCATCGATCCAGACGAAAGACTACGTAAACTCATGGTTTTGTATTCGATTTTTCTCTGCTCGTAGCTGTAATATAAGTGTATAAATGAAATCATTGACATACACAAGATCCTGCTGGATTTGCGGGTTTTACTTTCATCTTTTTGATGTTCATCATTGAATATATTATATATATATTTTTTTTTTTCATTCACAATTAGTCAATTTTCTTTGTTTCCAAATTATTGACTCAGAGTATTACGAATAACGAGCTCGTAGTGATTTGTGGAACAGTATTTGGTATTTTTAATCATTTGATTACAATGAACCATCTTTGCCAATGACTGCTCTGTCAATTAAGTTTCATCCTAATCCTAACCTTCTATTAAATGTCACAAAGCAAAATCGACTGCTGGATTTCTGTCTTATATTACGCTCTTCTTGAGTTTAACGGCTTTACTTTTATGATAATTGTGCTTAACACGATCCATGTAGTTTTGGAAATGAAGAAGTAATGGCTCTCCAAGTGTACATGCATTTTCAAATTTGTTAAATAAACACAACGGATTGATTCTGTGTAATAATTAAAAAAAAAAAATACACAGAATAATCATTATTTTAATTGACATTTCTATTCCGTAACTGCTTCAGTTTGTCAAGCGTTGTCCAAAGTGATTGGCATTTGATCATCAAAAATCTTTTTGAGGCTTCTTTTTATGATAGCTTTTCAAAACAACGTGTGGCTTAATGAAATCTAATGAAAATCTAAACAATTAAAAACCGAAAAACGATTTCAAAACTTGATAAAAAAAATCAATAGAAAAAAATCCCATCTGCCTCTCTCCAGAAAGTAACCAACAAAATTTCAAAAGTGTGCGTAAAAATGGATCGTATAAATGGATTGATTTTTCTTTTAATTGAAATGCTGATTAGTACAATGATTATTTACGTTATTATTATTATTTTTTTTTTTTTATTTTGTATACCTTCTATTTCTTGTTGATTCTTTGGTTGGATTTGTTTATTAGTATTTCATAAAACCATTGTCGTAGTTTCATTGTAGTTTTGTTGTTTCCAAAACTCAAGTGTATGCTGTACAACAGGGTATTTGGAAGTTTGTATGAAATAGATTTTGTGTTTACTTAATAGAGCTTTTGTCAACCGCTCATTAAAAATGATTGTTATCAATGTAATACAAAGTGACTCTTGAGAAACTCACTTTGAAGTTCTGTAACTGCAGCATACTTCCTTAATATCAGTGAAATGCAGTAAAATTCGGCGTTAAAGAACCTAATACTTAAGAGCCTGTGAGGCTCGTTTTAAGTTAGTATCATTTCTATAAAAACCTGCTCAGGCTGACTTGAAATGCAGCGATGTTTTATTGCATTGTTAATTTGCTTTCTATTAAATTAAAACAATGTGACTCATTTTAAAATCAAATGAAACCTTCAGAGATATGTTATATTATGTTGTTCTTTCAAAGTTGGTTATTTTACAGTTTAGTGCAATTGTTAAAACTGTTTGATTATAATA